GCCAACATTTACATATGATGTTTACGTATACTAACTTATTTGATACTCACTCACGCGAGTTTAATTCGGAGGCAGGCTTATGGCAGATACATCTTTGTTGATGTTATAGGGCTTAAAGTTTAAGTTAAACGATCGCGTTAAAAGTCAGCAATTCGTCGTAAATTCAGTGATCGTATCAATGACCCGGATAAACCGTATCACCTATAATTGGGTTAATCGTCTGGCCACATTTTTTATAGTACAGGACGTAATGTTCCTTTAAACATAGGGTTGGTAATTAATTTCGGAAGTAGCCTATTGAGGTGGTACACGACTCAACGCATGCAATGTTTGAGTACTTTATTTTTAGAAACTGACATTCTGTTGAAAAGAGGAGATAAGTTAGTTAAACAACACTAATGTATTCCAAATCAATTCCTGATGAGATGCGATACGAAATATTTTGATAAGCAATTTAGTATAGATGAAAAAATTTTACAAAACATCAAAAACCAGCTTAAATATACAGAATTAATGATGTTAATTGCTTCTTAAGGAATAAGCGTTAGATATGATTGAAATAAAAATGTGTCAGATATACAATCGTTCATCAAATCTACTTAATTATATGTTTGACATTTTCTTGATTGCATGTATAACTGTTACAATAGAATATTTTGTCTTCAAGAACCTTGCAGAATAATATAATAATTGTATTGAAAACTCACAAACTGATAATATTGGTAATTCAGTAACAATATTATTGGATCTTAAAAGGAAAAGCTACAATTCATGAACATACAGATGTTTAGGAAACTCTCTGGAAACATTGACTGACTGAAGTATAAAAGATAACGAGAATGGAGATGTCTCAACACGGAAAAAATACTATAAGTAAAACACTTAGCATTATCCTTTAAATCAGACACGAAAAAGGAAACAAGATGATATCATAATGGAAAAAAGTAAAGTGACAGAAAGTGGCACGGAAATATATATTTTAATATCTACTTAATTTTGTACTCTGGTGTATAGGAAAAGTGATTCGCGGTTTATAAAGCGTAAACTGTCCAAGTTATGTTATATTGTATAACATACGTTCAAATAAGCTTCATTCCTTAAGTAATGTCGATATCAAATTGTAAAATATTAATATTATAAAACTCGTTTCGATGCGTGGGGAATGAATTTAACAGGTCTGGGCGGCCTCCGTTTTTGGAGGATAGCTAGATTCAATATGGCAGCCAAATTTTTTACCATATATGGAAATCGCAATGCAATGTCGGATAGTTTATCTTCTGATTTCAGAGGATAGCATAGGTAATTTTCAAACGCCGCATGCCTACCTTTAATCAAAAAGTGCAAGCACCAGAGTACAATTAAATAAAAGATCAGACATTAAACTATCAATTGTATGTGGCGATTTGAGATTCTATGTCTAGAATTTTTACAATACGCTTTCAAAGTTGGCACTTCTTGCGCTTCATTTCTACTTAATATTTCTTGTTATTTTGTTTAATTTTTATGTTTTTTCCCTATCAGGACAAATAAAAAGGCACTTAAATGCTCAAAAACGTACTGTAAAGACAAAATACACTCTGCCTGATAATTTAAGCAAAGATAAAATAAATATTATTTAGAGAAAATAAGAAAAAAATCCCACTTTTTAGCTGTGCAGCATCTAAACTTCCGCTAGAGTTCTTAGATGAGGCCTCGACGGGGACCATGCATTCGCAGTATATATATTTCCACGGACAACGTAAGTTTCAGTCAGATTAGTTTTGACAACGGGTAGACGCAATTGAATTTAAGTCAGTCTTAACTGATAAGGGGGACGGTCTAACCTTGCTGTAGATGGAGATTGATCCTAATTTATTTCAGGGGTCTTGATATTTCAGTTTTATTAGATGTATACACATACAACAGTATTGAAGACTAATACAGAACGGAAAGTAGCTCCGCCCACTGTAGTCCCGTGCAGAAGAGCAAACTTCAAAGAAAAATTCCTCTACCGTCTTATTAAATGAAATAATTATGAAACTGAATTTTTCAAAAATATGTTTTTTATACTTTTATGCTGTTAACACATAATTATGGTACCGGAAAATGAGGTTGGCTATAATTAATTTTCAGACAGGAAAGGCCGGGTCTTTAACAAAGCTTTCAAATGAATAATTTATTGACAGCAAATTACCAAAATTTGTTAAAATGATTTAAATACCTATATTTAACCATCATCGTATGAAATTTAACCTTTTATTTGTTTTGGTTGAAAAATCAGAGTACGGTACATAAACTGGGACTTTAGATGCAAGAGTTGCTGTTATTTGTTTGGTTTAGACTGCCCTTTGTTTTGAAAAGTCCGGTAGGTGGCGACACCTCCATCCTCTGTTTCTAGAGGATAAAATCTATCCTCCAAAAACAGAGGCCGCCTAGACCTGTTTAATGGTGTGTAATTCAGAACTTGACACGAATTCTTTTCTAAAGAAGCTCAGCTAATGGTGTAACTAACACCTGTTTCATTTTGCTCCTTAGAATTGGCAGAGTCTTTAACTAATTTACCTTTTCGATTGCTAATTAGAAATTAAAAATGCTAATCAGTGAAAAAATATAGCATTTTAATTTCGATGTACTTCAATGAATTCACCTTTTCCCAAGGGCATACATGCACTCATGTACATATATGAATCACTTTTCGAATATGCAAAATGATACAATATTCTTTAAAATCATACATGGCGTATTTTTTTTAAGTTTTAAGTTTAACACTAAATAATCAAAGAAGAATTTTATATTTATTTTATTACTTTATATAATGAATGACTTTGCTGTATAAAATATAATTTAAATTAATCGCATTTCATAAATATTTCAGAATGCTTTTGTGCGTTTTTTTGTGTGAATCGCACAGACTTGTCCTGTAGGCATATTTTTCATGAAGCGTGCTAGCTTCTCTTGAAAAATATGCCCACGTGCAAGTCCGTGTGATTCATACATCAATAATAAATTTAAAACTTAACTTAGATACATTTATATATTTACATTTTATATGTTTTGAAAACCATAAATACACTGGATGCCCTATATCGTTACACTTTTATTTACGTCGCTGTAGCGCTGTTTTGACGTCACGTTAACGTACGTTTCTCCGTGTATATTTCTAAGCTTGAGTATACATGAAAATGGTTTTCAAAGATATTTCACAGTTGGCTTAGTAGAAAAACCCAGCAAATGTAAATATTAGAATTTTAATACACTACCCGATTTAATTTCCGACTCCTCTTCTAAAAATCGGACACAATTTAAGGTCAGTTTAACTGTAGAAACTTGAACAGTGCTGGTGATTTCCCTAAATCGAGAGAGAGCATTACTTAAAGCTAAACAAGATTCGTGAAAGGAATGTGTCTGCCATTTTCGTTCCCCATTCTCGCTACTCTGCAAACCCGTATATAAAGGGCAGGACTTAGTCACTGTTAAGTGTAATCAGTCGACACCGGTGTAGACGGACGTATGCTATACAGCACTAAGTAACGAGAATAATAACGTTATGCTTTGTCTGATGCAAAAAGTAAGATACCAAATAAATTTACATAACATTTTAAACTAGCTTCTACAGACAACCTAGTGGAAGTTCCTTCGCTCAGTGTGTTCGACAGGCCTCTGTTCGGTTCTCATTTGCCAACACACATGAAACATAAGGTGGTATCAAATGGCAGTGATTGTTATCTACATTTTGCAAGCAGCTTTCTTTAGAAGTAAAAGTAGCAAGTCTTTCGGCTGATACCTTAACAACCAAGGTCCAGCGTCACGGTAGGCGTTGAAACGGTAAAGACCCCCTCCCACCCCCCCCAAAAAACAAAAAAAAACAGTGTTATAATTGACTAATTAAATGTCTCTGTATTCCCGAAATAATGTGTTTTACCCACGGTACATGTACATGCCGGTGGGGTTGAAAAATAATGCATTTCACACGTTAAAAGTCACAATGAGGCAAATATAAAGTATGAATAAGTCTGAAATGTAAATATAAGTAATAAGGTATCATTTTAAAACATCTATCGGGCTATGAATACTGCTTAGTGCGAGATTAAATTAATCATAAAGCCATTCTGGCTTTATGGAATTTAATCTCGCGACCAACCCGTATATATATCCCAATACATGTTTAAAAATGATACTTTATTTCTTAATTGAAGTACTTTTAGTTTCTTTTATTTACTTCAATCATTTTACAATGCTAATTGTACTGTGTATAAAGATTTGCATATTGTTACAAAACATTACAATTCGCTTTTAATTTCATGTCATTATAATTATTGGTATACATGTGTATTTGGTTAGATTAAAAAACAAAATGTTTAGATGTGAAAAACTTTATTGAGGTTAAAATGTTGACTTTTAATTAATAAAATCTTTCTGAATATTTCAAAGAACATTGAATAACATTGGGAACTAAAATATAAAAAGTGTTGCATGAAAAGATTTAATTTTCAAGCTTCATTGTGAGGCTTTATTTAAAAATGAAAGAGTTATCTATTCTGACTGAAGATCAGAGTACCTTAATATGATTAAATTTTTAAAGAAAACGTCGACTCTTTATTGGCTGATCCGGGCTTTTTTTAAATATTTTTTTTTCTTATTCATTCCCATTAGATCTGTTAATTAAAAAAAATAAACGGTTACGTGAAACACTTAAAAATATTTAAGAAATTGGGTGAAAAAGTGGGTCATGGGTCATGTAAAAAAAAATATATATATATATATATATGGACGTCACAATATGAATGTTGATTTTGTGTAACTAAGCATTGTATTTTCAAACTCCTGAAGATTGGAAATGAAACCGGTTGAGTTTATTTCGGTGTTGTGATTTATATATATATATATATATATATATATATATATATATATATATATATATATATATATATATATATATATATATATATATATATATATATATATATATATATATATATGATGCTTGCGGTGGTAACCTTCTTTGACGTGTGATATTTTGTTTGTAACCTTCCTTTCTCATGTGTTTCCTTAATTTCTGAGTGTGTATTTTTTTCCCTCAGAATAAAGGAAGTAAGAAGGTATAATTATTTGTTTTGATTTTTGATGCTTAAAGTGAAGAATAAATAGATAAATGATGGATCGAGTTCGAAATAATTTTAATTCGTACGGATAAGATGTTATATTATTTGTAACAATATGTTTGATGCATACATATGTGATTTTCAATTTCTTTGGTAAAATATGTAGTTTTTTGTTCATTTTAAGTATTGCATTGTTCTTGTATTCAAAATATTTCACAATGTAAACAATCTTGTAGAACACGAGAAGTTGGACAAATTATCAAAACAGCAAAAATGGTAAGTATTGGATGCTTTTTTGATGTTACATAACATAACATTTTGATAGGGACACAATCTGTAATTTCGAATAAGATGCACTTATGACGTACTATTAAAAATAATGCATTTTAATTGGTGTTCTGGAAATTAGTAATTGAAAATTACTTGTTTTATTTGATCTATAGAAAAAAAATACTGCAAATCTCTTTCTCCATCCAAGGATATTGATGCTATTAGCTTATAATTATGATCAGATTTATAGAAAGATCTTAGACCGGAGTTCCTTTGAATGTGTAACGCTTACTCAAATTATTTCCTGTTTATATATAAATGTCAGTAAGTTCCTTGGTTCATTTATGATAAGTTAAAGGGGTTGTCAAAGATGGGTTTGTCTTTTATTTACTCTCCCTTTTGCAAATTTTGTATTATCAAAATGTAGTTTTTGATGTTTTACTTTTTGAATTTGAAAAAATTCTAAACTTTTACCAGGAATTATTATTTCAAAACAACATAACCATTACAAGTCCTTTAATGAACTTCGTATCATATAATACGAAATGAATGCATTTTTCTCGGTAATCGCCAAAAGGACCGAGTTTCCTTTCATCTTCTTCCTTTGAATTATGGAGAAATAATTATTTGGTGAGATCTAGAGGAAGATAATTATCAATACAAATGTAGGAGATTGTATTATATGGTCTCATATATCTATTAAATTTAATTCTTCAGCCTCTGTGGGATATCAAATGCGTTTATACGTGATCAACTGAATCATTTGGTACATGAAAAAGAAAGTAATAGTATTACAGTTTGACTACATGTAGTAACTAATTTAAAACTTAATTTAAATTCCTTGATATTGGTTTTTAACTCACAAGGCAGCAGTGCCAAATGAGTATATGGAGCCCAGCATACATTACACCGGCACATCACATGAATCAAAAGTAAGTCATGATTATAAAGAGGGTGTTGCAGTTCTTTTGTTTTTACCCAATAAAGTTTTGCAGATGATACAATATTTAAATTGGCCTAAACATGCTAAAGAAAACGAAGTTAAGCTTTTTTTCAGATACAACGGTATATAAAACACTAAGTGCAATATAGATATAAAATACCTATATTGAAATATTAATAATTATTATCCATAAAGTTAAAAATGAATGAATTCGTACTTTTTATAAAGAATCTCATTGTCTAATAATGCTAATTCTTTGAAATAGAATTCTGAAAAACTGAAACAAATTATGAAAAAAAATCTTTCAAAAATAAAAGGAGGTGCACATTAAAAATAGCGTTGGGATTAGTAAATTTGTAAATTTATTAGTACGTACATGAACATTGCAAAAGTTTGTTAAGTTTTATTTTTTCTATATAACAGTGACGTTTTAACGAAATGTAATGTATTTTATATTAACCGAAGCTCAGATTATATTTGTTTACGCTTATCCAAGCGACCTTATTTTTATGCGCCGAACCTTTTGTTTATTGTAAAATCCGGAAAATGAATATTATTGTTTATAGATCGTAAGGACACGTCTTAGTAGCGTTTATTAAACTTTTAGAAAGCTGGTTGAAAACAAAAAATATGATACGGAAACGAGAGCTTCAAAGGATGCCTTTAAAAATCATCAAAAATTAAAAACAAAATATTACTTACCAACCCTTCTTTCTATTGGCATAAAATGTGAAGATAATGACCACTGGCCATGCTCAACTAAGACATGTATTCAAATAAATCATATAATTTTATTTCTTTTTATTTAAAAGGGAGATGATCACAGATATGAAGAGGTAAATCCTAAAGAAACAAAACGTTTTCAGTTTATGAATCTATTTTATTTAATGTTTACTAAGTTTTTAAAATATTTTTGTCATAACTTCTCATTAACAAGTCATTATTAATAATAAAGCTTTGGGGTCAGCCAACAAAAACAAGAAAGGTAGAACAAATTAGCATTGAGCATCCCACCACATCAAGGAGATCTTTGAAGCATGTTTTGGCTGTTCTTCTATTTATCATTCTTGTATGCGGACTTGCCACGACATGTGCATTATATGGTCTCGAGAAAAGAAAACCTGAAGGTAATCAACCCTGTCACTTCTATATCTCCAATAGTTTATAATTCTTTTTCCAAAGAAATTGTAACTGAAGTATGTCTACTTTAACAAGTTTCATCTCAAACAATTAAGGTACCTTACCGTGTATTTTTGGAAGATTCCAGAGGATAATATACTAATAATAATCGTACTGGCAATTACTAGCATGGCCAATAGGACATATCTTTGGTGTCTTAATCTACTTCAACATTTTAAAACAGTTTAAAAATCTCAAGATCATGATAAGTAAAATGAATTTGTTGTATATTATGAGGAGATACACAAAAACATATTCGAGAAACGTGTTGAATTATATTGATCCAGGAATCCTTTACACTACTGACAAAGAGAGCAAAAAAAAAATTCAGATTGATACGAAACTATTCTTAAATATTGATTAAAGGTAGTTTAAAAAGATAAACACTGGGGCTGAATGGGGCTAAAATGGGAAAGAATTTAATATTAAATGTATACAGGAAAAACAATCTTACAAAAATATAAAAGTGTATACTTTCATTCAACATGACTAAGTACAAGAAGACCCTTGAGTTATAATAAGCCTATACTGTGGTGAAGTAAGACATTTGCCTGGCTATGAGAGGCGTTTATTGAAGAATTTGCTTATTATGATGCAACTTCTAAAGATCTAACATTAATTTCTAGAAACTTTCGTATGAATTTCCCAAAAAGGAAAAACTTACTAAATCATTGTTATAAGATAATGACTTCATTCGAAACATGAACTTACAGAATAGTAACAAAAACAATTGAAACAATCGAAAAATACATTTTAAAATGACTCATGTGAGTGTCGGAGTTTAATTTGAATATGCATTTATTCCCTGATTACATAATTTGAATAAAAGACATTTCGTTAAATTTGTGTGTTTTTGTTAAAAGTATTATGGACTTCTTTATTAAATTTATGAAAGATAAGTTTTTTACCTTAATAACATTTGAAACATAGATATTCACTTATTTGTGTTACAGAAAACCAACAATGTAAGGCTTTGGCTGAGGATAAATTTTCAAACGACCCTTGCAGAGGCCAGAAACTGAAATCAACAAGCCATAGGAATAAAGAGTTAGGTGAGAAATGTATTAATTTTTTTTCCTCTTGAAGATTAATATATTTCTTTTCTTCTAAACATATTAGATGTAACTATTGCAGGAAGCAGAGGATATAGTTTTCTAGTCAGCTTTTTCAAAAGTCACGGAAGTAAAACAAACCGAACAATCTTTGTAACATCAGAAACTGATTTCAATTTAACATTTTCATTGCCAGAGACTCAAAGTTCGAGTCTGATATCAATTTCTAGTCGTAGAAGTGGAAACATTACCATGAAGAAGTTAAATGTACACTATTCTCTTGTTCCTTCTTATTTTACCCCTGAATACAAAGGTATCATCATCAACACTTCAGTCCCGTCATCTGTATTGACTCACCATAGTTATCAAACATCTTCAGATACTACAACCGTATTTCCAATCGACAACCTTTCAACATTCTACATTATATCAACATCGACACCGGCAAATTCAAAATAAGGTAGTGGAAGTCATTTCACAATTGCTTCTATGAAAGAGAACACTCTTGTTACAATTAAGTTTGCTGCAGATCATGACGTAAATATATTTATCCAAGAGAGAAATTATGGAAGAGGTGACATATTCCATATCATTTTGAACAAGTATCAAACATTCCAAATCGGTATTAAAGCCGACATGACAGGAACAACGATTAATTCTTCAAATCCTATCGCTATCTTTGCGGGAAATAGGTGCAATTATGTTGGATATTATGGATTTTGTAATATGCTTATAGAAATGGTAGCACCAGCTGACAAACTCGACAATGTTTTTATTGTCCCACCAAATATTCATAGATACCAATCGCTTGTACGCTTTAACGACTGTTAAAAGTAATATCAAATATACGACTGAAAAAATCAAAACTAGGACTACTGTTTTGAAAAACCAATATGTTGAATTTTCTGTCGGCGAACACGAAATAGGTGTTATACATTCTAACAAACCTGTCTTAGTTAACAGTTTTGCAGGGGCTTCAAGTAAGGATAGAGTATATGGTGATCCATATATGATAACAGTACCTGGAATAAATCAGTATCTCAATAAATACATAAATTTCGTACCGGACGGATTTAATTTTAACTTTGCTACTTTTATGATTAGAAACAGTTCTTTAGAAAATCTTCAAATAAACGGTACGAAAATCGATGTAGACAGATGCCTTTTTCATTCCTCAGTTCTCGTTGGGACAGCCCTTTACAGCGTTTGTACTGTAAGTGTTCCAAGTGGAGTCATTGCTGTTAAAACTTCAGATGGGACTCGATTTGGTTTTATCGTTACCGGTCAATGAAAAAATGATGGTCATGGCTACACTGGAAATGCACTGTTAACCACAACATGTGGGACATAACAAAATTGCGACAAAATCGTAGTAAGATGATTACATGTATCTATATAAAATCTGAACAAAATGTGTAATAGATTTGTCTTCGAATATTCAGCTTTCGATTATTTTTGAAAGGAAGACCAATTTTAAACAGCATCACATTTTCTGTTTTTATAACTTCATAACTTATGTGGAGCTAATAAAAAACTTGAATGTTTCTCATTCACACAGATGAGAAAAAAATTGATTGTACATTTTTTTGTTCCTGTTTTAAAATTTATTGCTCATAAAGAGACGTTTGCGTGTGCCTTTAAATTTGGACTCGACCGTCAAGGCCACTGAACAGCAAGACTTCATCATACCGAATCCTACCATAACATTCAGCGTCGTTTTTACGATGTCATCCGATATACCCCGATATACTTTAACTTCTTAGTGCGCATCGCTTGGTGAAGGAACATATGCTTCCTAATTTTAATGGATTTAGGTCAGTTGCAGTGGTGATTCTTTGGTTCAAAGAGAATTAAAGCGCTTACAAACGGAGCTACAGAGGCTGCCAAATGAAAAAAAGAGAAGACTGGCAATGAGAGACCCTGTATATAAACGCGTATTTCTAGAACTAAAAAATGTGCTAGATTTGTAGTAACTTAGCTGTTCATAACATTGCTGAAACTTTGTTCTGTGCATATTAGTTTTTCCACTTACAGTAATTTTAGTTATATAATTTTAGTGCAGTAATCTTTGCGTTCGAAGAAATTATCTTCCATTTTAAGGTTTTGTTTTGCATTTAAGACAATGATACGGTTCTTTAATTAGACATCAATCATCTAAAAACTAATTACTGCTAGCATTGGACAATTTATAGAACAGTTTGTATTGATTTTAAAGAAGTTCTTTTGCGTTTGATTGCAATTATTGTTACGTTTAAGGTAAGTCACTCGTCAACTTTTTAGAAAAGTTCACGCAGAAGCTTTTACTGCAAAACTACTTATTAAAATTCAATTTTTATAACATATTTAAATTCAACAATGTAAATTTTTTAACATTCAATGAAAAAACTGCTCAAAAATCTACAAATTTGCAAAATTTATGAGGGACTATTTCTTTTGGCGTGAAAAATATTTAGCAGAAAATTCTGCAAACTGCAAATTTATAAAATTTAATGTAATGGAAATTTAGCCTCACATACTTGAAACTGGGAAAATATTTTCCTTTTTAAATTGCTAAAAATATTTAATATAGGTCTTAATTTATATTTTAGACTAAGTTTTACACCTTCCCTCAACAAACTTTTCCAAAAAATGAAAATATATAAAAGAAGTTAAGATCAAATTTACACCATTTTTTGCCTGAAATCACATATTTTGACAAATATTTCAAAATTAACATCTTTGAAGAAACCTTTTTATATCATTATTTCAAAATATACTTGACACTGATCAGCACTTAATTAAAAAGTTTGATATAAGAACTTTTTTTTATTGCCTATTAAGTTTTTTAATACCCCAAATATGTTATTTTTTAGTGCAAAAAGGTCACACTCTAATTTACGCGCATTAATTTGCAAGATTTGTTTAATGATAAATACTATTCAAACTATTTTACGTAAAATAAGATTATATTTATTGCCATGCTTACATCTGATCAAATATAATAAGGGTTAAAGTAATTAACCAAAGAGATTAAATTTAAGTGCAAAAAGGTTGTTAAATGTAGTAGATCAGTAGGATGCACACTGACCCCCTATTTTCTTTGCGATTTTGAGTTACACTTTATGAGTACTTATCCAAAATATACTTCTCAAAAAATCCTTGATATAACAAATTTCAGGAGTGACTTACCTTAAATGCAAAACCCTTTGCGAGTAATCGCAAGCATTTCAACCCAAAGGTTCTTATTGTGTTTAAAGGCAAAACGCACACCGTTAAATGCAGGATTATTTTCATTTCAACCCCAAACATTACGTTTAAACGCAAAGGTTTGGGTCAATACGCAAAGTTTTGCATTTAGACGGAACGTTATGCAATTAAACAAATTCTTTTGTTTGTAAGAACATACTCAAAATACTTCTAAACTTAATTTTCCTATTCCCTGTTTAATTAAAAAGTCCCTTTTACTGAACGACATATTTGCAATTTAATGATGCTTAAGAAAAAAAACTGTTAATGTTTCCTGATACTGTAAACCAACTTTTATTTGCGTCAACTTTAATTCACCTTTCTTCAGTTTGAAATCAATCCGCGACAACCAATTTTCGCAACTGAGGACATTATTTACAAATACAAAGCAAAATAAATGGTTTGCGTTGATTTATATTTGCGAGTTAAAGTAAATCTCGAAATTGAATATTTCTCGCACATGCATAAAATTTTGTTACAGTACTTTGTGCAAGAACATCTTATGGGATATCATTTAAAGTTAAGAATCTTGTAGAAAATTATCAAGGAAGAAATGGTACATTGTAGAATTTGTTTACACGTACGTAGCATGCATCTTTGAAAGTAAGGTATTTTTGTTCAAACACAATAATTTTTGCGAATTAGTGTGTGTTATTTTGCATTTGAACGCAAAATTATCGCAATTAAACAAAATCGTTCACTTATGAAAGCAAAGATCACTGCGGTTAAACGCAATGTGTTGTGTATATACATATATACTCAAATAATTATTTCTTTTATTATGATGGTCGGATGCGTCGGTCAGATTCTGCAATGCACCATGTTGAAACTCTTGAATTCGCGTATGCAGAGTTTGCAATTGAAACATCTGTTTTGGTTTGAAAAAGCCAATCCTGTGTTTGCCTAGACTTGTGCATGAATCGGCTTTGATTTATTATATAACGGCAAATTTTCTTTTTCCAAACATATAATATTAAATGATTCACTGTACAGTGCCAACTGGCTACATTTTCATACATTATGTAAATGACAAAATGAAATGCGTGATTAATATAACACAAAACTGCAAAATTTATTTATAGACCTTGAGTGAGATTTGTTTCCATAAATAAAAATTCTGCGATGCAATCATACATGACTGGCGTTTTATTTATAAACAGAAAAATTTGAAAAGCTGTGAAAAAAATTATAAGTACGTTAAAAGTTGGCAAAAATCAAAGCACTTTGAAAAAAAAATCGAAGTGTGTCTGAGTGTACATCAATGTTTTTTGAGAAAATTCGGATAGATAAAGCAGAGAGCTACAGGTCCAGGCGTTCTAAAAACCTTCGATTTACGCCGACGATTTTTTGTCGCTACTTTATGTATTTATTTCGTGTAGTTTAAGCTTTCTGTAGCTTTTAGAATGGTATCATATAATTAATCATATATTTAACTCTTTGATACTTTATTTACCCTTTAACGGTCCTAAACAGTCCTGTAAATAGTTTTGTAATGTCGGTTTAGAAGAGTTTCATTTTGACGTCCGTAACAAGCCATTTGTTAGCGTTGAAAGGTAAGTAAATTATCAGGAATTGAAGTTAAATGTATAATTACTTATCATTTTTAAAGCTGGGGAAAGTATAAAATACAGGAAAAACTACCCGAAGTGAGCGACAAAAAATCGTCGGCGTAAATCGAAGGTTTTTACAACGCATGGAGCTGTAGCTCTCTACAATAGCTAGAATCTACGCTACCCCAAGATGCTTCTACCTAAGTTTCACCCTTCCTGGCCCATTGGTCATGTTGGTTCTTGAGAAGAAAATTTTTTCTTTATATTTCTATGTAAAAATCGGATTCCCTTTTGTGGCCCCGCCCTACCCCGGGGGTCTTGATTTTAACAATTTAAAATTTACACTACCCAAAGATGATTTCACATATGTTTCAGCTATCCTCGCTCACTGGTTCTTAAGAAGAATATTCTTAAAGATTATATCTATGTATTTCTATGTAAAACCTGGATTTCCTATTGTGGCCCGCCCTACCCCAGGGGTCATAATTTGAACAATTAAGAATCTACACAACTCCAAGATGTTTTCACATAAGTTTCAGCTTTTCTGGCCCAGTGGTTTTTGAGAAGAAGATATCTAAAAATTTTCCTTTATATTTCTATGTAAAATTTTGATTTTCTATTGTGGTCCCGCCCTACCCCAGGGGGTCATGATTTTTACAATTTAAAATTTACACTATCCCAGGATGCTTCCATATAAGTTTCTGCTTTTCTTGCCCAGTGGTTCTTGAGGAGCAGATTTTCAAAGATTTTTCCTTATATTTCTATGTAAAACTTCGATTTCCTATTTTGGCCCCGCCCTACACCCAGGGGTCATGATTTAAACAATTTAGAATCTACACTACCCCAGAATGCTTCCACATAAGTTTCAGCTTTTCCTGGCCCAGTGGTTCTTATGAAGATTTTTTAATGATCCCAACCTATTTTTGTCCTTTCTTGATTATCTCTCCTTGGAAGGAGACCTTGCCCTTTATTTTAATAATTTAAACTACCAATCCCCCAGAATTGCTTTGTACCAAGTTTGGTTAAAATTGGCCCAGTGGTTCTTGAGAAGAAGTTGAAAATGTTAAAAGTTTAAAGACGGACGGACAGACGGACGGACGGACGGACGGACGGACTAAGGACAAAATGTGATCAGAAAAGCTCACCTGAGCCGAAGGCTCAAGTGAGCTTTTCTGATCACATTTTGACAAAAAGAGAAATAATCTTTCCTAACAAATAAAAATAACGCACCTTATTGTATTGTAAAAGAAATGCTCAGTGGGCATATTACTGAATAACAGCCAATTGAGTAAACTTTTGCCAAAGTAAAGTTGCAAAATATATTAAAGTCAAAAGTAAATGTACAATGCATATTAAATATTTATCCATAATGCTTAATACCAATCTATTTATTGTAAAAAAAAAAGTACATCATCTATCAAAATTATGCTTCTAAATACTTATCAAATATCTATGAAAAGCCCGTTATGTTGTGTTGGAAGATTATTTTATTTTAATAAAAAAAAATAATTTGGACTCCATTCTGTCGCATTTACAGTAAATTGCAAATCCTAAATGAGGTCATCAACGAAATGTTATAAAACCAGGTTCAAACAATTATTTGTTATACCAGGTATAAGAAATTTGCATGGATAATGACTACTTTAAGACGTGCACACTGTTTTCAAAGTGCGTTGGTATAGTCAATATTAACGCACTTTGAAAATAAAAAAAATTTAAAGTGCGTTTACTTGGTCCAAATTTCTTTATCTATTAGAAAAGCATTTAATTATGATAATTTCAAGTATTCGTTGCTTGAGATTTAGATTTAGATCGCCTGAAGAAATTCAGTACAATTAAAAATATATAAACCTCTAAGTTGTTTTTTAGTAATATTTTGGTCTAAAACTCCGTTTCC